ACCAATTGTATCATTTGTATGAGACCATACCTCCAAGTCATCAACCTGTCTGCCCTGGTTTGGAAATCGAACTACAAAAGAGAGGTGTTTACCGCGGAATGCTCTGGGGGGGGAAAAAGAAAGACAGATATTATCATATTCAGCAGACTAGGAAATTTTGTTGCCAAGAAAATAATGCTGGGGATTTAACATTTGAGTATTTTCTTTATTAAACATGAGGATGTGAAATAAAAGACACTTAATACAGCTTGAGAATCCCTTAAATGAAATGTCTGGGACCAGACGGATTTTGGATTTCTTGGATTAGGGATACTTAACCTGTATTATTTTCAGTATCTTGAAAAGAAGGCTGGGCACAGTGCCTCATGCCTGTAATCCCAGCACTTTGGGAGGCTGAGGCAGGTGTATCACTTGAGGTCAGGAGTTCAAGACCAGCCTGGCCAACATGGTAAAACCTCATCTCTACTAAAAATACAGAAAATAAACTGGGCTTGGTGGTGGGTGCCTGTAATCGCAGCTACTCGGGAGACTGAGGCTGGAGAATCACTTGAACCTGGAAGGCGGAGGTTGCAGTGATCGGAGATAGCACCACTGCACTCCAGCCTGGGCAACAAGAGCGAAACTCAAAAGAAAAAAAAAAGTATTGCTCCTTTTAACTACAAACATAAATAATATTTAAAAACATAACAATCATATTCTATTGCTGTTAGTCTTGTATCTATGGTTGCAGAAAATGAGGTGTCTACTGAAAAGAAACTAAAACCAAGACGTAACACTTATCTTCATGCTGTAAAAGCCCAACTCACTAAGACTATTTTTAAATGTAAAAGGTTGACTGGACACAGTGGCTCATACCTGTAATTCTACCACTTTGGGAGGCCAAGGAAAGAAGCTGCCTTGAGTCCAGGAGTTCAAGACCAGCCTGGACAACATAGATTGACCCTGTCTGTATCAATAAAATTTTTAAAAAATTCAAAAAAAGAAGGTAGAGTTTACCTTTCACAAGTAAAAGGGACAGTTATACATTTTATTAGAAGTATCAACAAAAATGCCACAATGTACGTTTTTTCCGGAAAAAATCCTTTGTATCAAAGTTCACTCCAAAATGCTATTTATATTAGTATATTATCTTTTTTAAAAGTAAAATGTAAAATAAAAATCATATTAAAGAAGTAACTTTACATACTTTTATGGTTAATAAACAGAACTCTTTAAAAAAAAAAAAAATGATGGCATTGACAATACAAAACATCCCCAAACTATGAACACCATTAGAAAATTTCTTATACTGCAATGCAAAGCAGCTTTTAAGAGTTCTTTACAGGCCAGGCGCTGTGGCTCACTTTGGGAGGTCAAAGCAGGAGGACTGCTTAAGCCTAGGAGTTTGAAACCAGCCTGGACAACGTAGTGAAACCCCGGCTCCACAAAGAAGTAAAAAAAAATTAGCCAGGTGTGGTGGCCTGTGCCTGTGGTTCCAGCTACATGGGAGGCTGAGGTGGGAAGATCACTTGAGCCCAGGAGGTTGAGGTTGCGGTGAGCCATGATCACACCCTGGCACTCCAGCCTGGGTTGACAGAGTAAGACCCTGTCTCAAAACAAGCAAGCACACAAACAAAAAATCCACTTCAACTGCAAAGTATCACTACAACACTTAATGGGCAATAATGTCAAAGACAAAAAGAAAACCAGCAAACAACTTGAGTAAGAATGTCTCACCCAAAAAACCCAAACAAAATACCAGATGGGAGGGTGGGGGAGGTTATTAAAAAAAAAATTATATGAGATGCAAATGTTTTTAATGGGCAAAGACAACAAATTTCAAATAAGAAAAGTTTCTGCTCTCCTTCTACCAGATGGCTAGGAAAATATCAAATAATTAAGAATTAGCACCAATAGATCAGTCATTCACAAACCTTGACATGGGGAGAATTGTTCTTTCCTCATGATAATCACTGTCACATTCATTTATATATTCCCTTAGAACAGTTAATACTCGAACCATTCGAACAGCTTCCTGTCTTGCACAATTAACACTGTCTTTGTCACCATCCAAAACACACAACGTGTCATAGGAGGCTTTCAGACGATCAAAACAAGACTGAATGAAGTCTTCATGGATCACCACCTACAAGTAACAGACCAAATAAAGACAAAGTTGCTTTAAAATGTAAAACATTAATCCAATTAAAGATGGCAATGGCTAATTTAAACATAGCACTCAATTAACAGTCATATTTAAGTAGAGAAATCCATATAATAATAAAATGTATTATGTTTCTTAAAAGGAAGCTAGCATTACATAAGTTAACAAATATAAACCAGATAGTCAAAAATGAACTTCAGGATTAGTTGTTAGCATCAAAAAGAATTCACATAGACTTTCTTTGTCATTTCAACATATAATAAATAGCTACATTAAAAATAACCCAATCAGCTGGGCATAGTGGCAGATCAGAGGTCAGGAGTTCAAAACCAGCCTGACCAACATAAAGAAATCCTGTCTCTACTAAAAATACAGAATTAGCTGGGTGTAGTGGTGCATGCCTGTAATCCCAGCTACTTGGGAGGCTGAGGCTGGAGAATCACTTGAGCCTGGGAGGCAGATGTTATAGTGAGCCCAGATCACACCATTCATTGCACTCCTGCCTGGGCAACAAGAGTGAAACTCTGTCTCAAAAACAAACAAACAAAAAAACAAATCCAGTAACTTCAAGATAATTATCAAGGCAAGATTCATTTAAATAGTATTTTTTCTCTTTTGTATAAGAGAAATAGGGACTGAAAGAATTATATACGGAAGTTTTAATGCACATCGATCCTCACCTGATTGACTTGTAGTCTTGGACCAAGGTTTGTGTATATCTCTTTGAGGAGATCTATAGCTCTGCTGGCAATATCATCATTACTCTGAATCACGACCTGGTTTCAAAATGAAAAAAGTGTTCATCCCTTTCAACATGTATTTTTGTTGGGCATTTAAATTACAACTATATCATCAGTTATTTTAAATACACTATTCAATGATTTAACGGTAAGCTGATTTTGATAATCAAGTAAAATTAAGTGAGGACAGACCAAAAGAAATAATAAATACAAAATGAAAGTCTCTGAATAAAACAATTTGTTTAAGAATGAAAGGTACATTTTTATAAAAGTAAAATATGCTTTGACCACTATTATTTAACCCTATAATTTAACATCTTGATAACCAAGTGAGACACTCAAGAATAAATTCAAATTAGTTGGCAGGAAATAAGAGATTACATGAAACACAGTTTAGCATAAAGGACTACACTACCCCCAGTCTCTATCAATCTTCATCACTCAACTGATTACATTAGTGGTTTCCAAACTATGTTCAGGACCCTAGGGGTCTTTGAGGAAGTGTTTCAGGGTTGACCCCTTTTATAAAAGGTTTGGGGAGGAGAAATGGGTAAGCATGGGGAGACCCAGTAAGAAAACAGTTGTTCCTTGTTCAAGTCAGTATACATTTTGTAGTGTGGTGCAAATTTTAAGACGGGTTTCTGCTGTTTAAAACAATGTTGAAAACCACATACTTAATCAAAAGCTTTTAAATACTCAAATGCCACAGTAAACATCTTTATCTATGGTTTGCAGAAAAATAATTCACAGATATCCAAACAACAATATAAACTGCTGTATAACAGGTCAGACTTTTTAAAGATAGGAATAATATACTAGCACTATAAAAATAGAAAGATTAGCCTAAGATAGTATAACAAGATAGTATTTTGTTCCCCCTGGTATTTAAAAATATCACAAGGTAAAAAGTACCAATAAAGCATATACTCATAATCTATACTAAATACAAGTCCTCTCTCCTGTCCTCTATTTTACAGTGAAACATTGAGGAGGAAATAGATCGACACTGAATGAAAAATTGGGAAGAAACATTAATATCCATAGGGGAGGAATGAAAGATTTGTATGTTTAGTGCATATCTATGGAACTCATAGATTCTAAGCTAAGACAAAAGGAATATCAGTGGCAGGAGGAGGGAGAGGAAGAGAGAAGAAAAAGCCCACTGACAAATGATGTAATAGTACAAACGAACAATTACTAACTATACCAAACTCCTGAGATAAGCATCAGAGTAAAATGCACAATTTATATGCAAAATTACAATTCCTCACTTATTTGAAAAAGTACATCAGACGCCATTTACAGAGTTCCTACTTTTAACTTACCCTCCAAAGGTAATCTAATCCTATTAACTCCAAGTCATCCATCATATAGGCTCTCCTTTTTGCTACTAGTTTTCCTTCTCGACAATTCACAGCTTTGAAGAATCGCTCAAAACACTTCATTCCGTTTTCAGTTAACAGAGAAGGATCAAGTTGAAGCACATTACTTTCAAAGAAGTCCTTATTAATATCAGGATCTAAGTCTGGTTCATCTCCCATCAATTTGGAATACCACTTAAAACAGGCTTCACGATCACAAAGGTAAACTGCATTCTCAGCTAAGCATTTCCATATTTGTTTTGCCTGAGGAGCACATAGCCACAGTTGACCATCCTTCAATAAAAATCTTGAAAAAAACAAGAAATTGGCAATTAGATTTATGTAATTTTTATCCTGAAAGGCAATCTATCTGTATTACATATAAAACATTTACCACCATTATATTTTAACTATATAGATAAAAAGATATTCATTCTTTCAAAAGAACCTATTTCTCTACTTTTATCTGATATTTAAAAAATTCCCACTAGATATTAATTAATTCAACAAGCATACAACTGAAAACCCACTATGTGCCTGAAATGCAGCCAGCTGATTATGAATAAAAGATTCGTTCTCTGAACTTTTAACCATTTAGTCTTTGAAACCAGACTTTTGGGAAAAAGCACATTTAATAGCTTGAATTAAAAATAAAGACTTAGACTGGGAGCGGTGACTCATGCCTGTAATGTCAGCACTTTGGGAGGATGAGGGGGAGACCAGCCTGGTCAACACGGTGAAACCTCGTCTCTACTAAAAATACAAAAATTATCCGGGTGTGGTGGCTTGCGCCTGTAGTCCCAGCTACAGGGGAAACTGAGGCATGAGAATCACTTGAACCTGGGAGGTGTAGACTGCAGTGAGCAAAGATTGTGCCACTGCACTACAGCCTGGGTGAGATCCTGTCTCAAAACAAGACTTAACATCCTGCTCATATGGCATCATTGAAAAATGAGTCATTCAATTAAGTGACTTTCACAAATAACTAATCCATCAATATTTATAAGTTAAAACTGCTTAAATTTTCAAAGGTCTTTTTTTTTTTTCCCTTGAAGATGGCATAAAACCTTCTTCAAATAAAAATCCCATTTGTAAATCTGATATATAAAATAAAAGCAGAACTGCTCCGGCTGTTGGGAGAGGAAAAAGAAAGGAGAAATGGGAAACTTCCTATTGCCTGTTCAGAAATCTTGAAGGAACTTAACTCAGAAGCCCTAAAGCTCCTACACAGGTCTAAAAAACTACTGGTCTAATAGGAAGAGCACAGACCTAAGTAAAAGAGACCTAGTTGAGTAGTACAATTCTACCATATACTGGCTTTGGGATTTCAAACAAGCTACTTTAAGCCACTGGAATCTTGGTTTTCTTATTGATCAAACGAGAATAACACTCGCTTAACTGTGTTGCTTCGGAGCAAATATAAAGTGTCTGGCACAGGCCAAACACACAGCAAGCGTTAAAGTCAGGTTCCTCTCCCTTGAGTTAGTTGATATAGCTCACATAGAGGTACGAAAAGGGTAGAAACTACAACAGTTCCTCTGATTCCACACTTTAAAATGCAAAAGGGTTTGAAACCACTTCTCTGTTCTAGTAACCCTAAGGGACATATAACACATGCCAATCAGTAATGACTACTTAACAATGGCAGTAACTCTCAATGTGGGGAGGCAAGTCCTTCTATCCAGGTGGTTAAAAACAAAACACACAGAAAAACTATGCACTTTAAACCAATACCAAATTTCTTAAAATTTGGTAGAGGTTTTTCCACAAATTAAAATTATGCAGCTACTTAAAATTTTCTCCGTAAGTAAGTGCCAAACTCAATAAATAGAAATCTATAACACAGTCCAGGACAAAACTCTCCAGAATACATTATCAAAATAATAAATGGAATAGATTTTACAAAGCAGTGATAATTTGGGCATTTCTGTTAGCACACTTAAGCTCTTTTGCTGCATTTGTTTTCTGGAATTCAAAAGAAACCTCTCACACACAAAAAAAATTTTTTTTGAGACAGGATCTGGAGTGCAGTGGTGCAATCACAGCTCACTACAACCTCCGCCTGCCAGGTTCAAGTGATCCTCCCACCTCAGCCTCCCGAGTACCTGGGCCTACAGGTGAGCACCACCATGCCTCGCTAATTTTTGTATTTTTTTATAGAGATGGGATTTTGCCATGTTCCCCAGGCTGGTCTTGAACTCCTGGGCTCAAACCATCAGCTCACCTTGGCCTCCCCAAGTGTTATGATTACAGGTGTGAGCCACGGAGCCTGACAATTGAAATTTTTAACAAAGGTACTTTGCACATCTGTAAGTGTGTAATTACCAAAAGCTAAATATTGTAGAGCAAACATAGCCCTATACTACATTTTATCTTAATAAACATTTTCTCTCATGCCAGTCAGAAATTACACCATTAACACATGACTTTAGATTGCCTGTCAGCCACTGTTAAAATAAACAAGGCACCAGAAGACTCAACCCACTCTTTTGAGGTGGTGGTCTAGCAGCCTTTTGTCCCCATTTCCTTAGTGTCCATGATATCATTATGTCAGCATAGTCCTCCTTCTGGTTGGCCATGCGTGGTGCTCAAACCTGTAATCCCAGCACTTTGGGAAGCCGAGGCGGTCGGTTCACGATGCCAGGAGATCAAGACCACCCTGACCAACATGGTGAAACCTCGTCTCTACTAAAAATACAAATATTAGCTGGGCATGGTGGTGTGCACCTCTAGTCCCAGCTACTCGGGAGGTGGAGGTAGAGGAAATTGCTTGAACCTGAGAGGCAAAGGCTGCAATGAGCCGAGACTGTGCCACTGCACTCCAGCCTGGCAACAGAGCAAGACTCCGTCTCAAAACAAAAACAAAAACAAAAACAAAAAAAAAACACCACTATTTCCAGCATAAACAGATACGAAGAACAGAAATAAACTCTAAAGGTTAAAAATGTGTTCTCTTAAAATATTGCAACAAAGAAAGTTAAAATTCAGCCAATCATTGTAAAGTATTTAGTAACAAATACAGGGAAATGTCTTATATGACTTGGGAAAAGGCCACCCAACAAAGACCAAGCTATATAGTCTATTCACTCTATATTCCTTATCTGCTTCTTAAAGAGAGCAACACTAATTGTATAAAACAAACCTAAGGAAGTTAAGCCGTTCCTGAACTTCTTGAACATGACTATATCTACTTCCCAGCCTCACAGTTTGTGGGTCATAATCTTCATGGTCTGCAAATTAAGAAAAAATCATGCATTATACACATGGATAAACCAAATTACTGCTGACTTCAACCTAAGAAACCAGGTCAGTTAAAATGTCATTAACCCTTTATCATTAAAAGGCAATCTAAATTCTACTAATTGGTGGTTTTTATCCATCTCCTGTTTTCCTCATAAAAATACTTTCCTGTTACATAACCAAAAGAATGTTAAATGTACTATCAAAAATAATTCTTCAGCACAACCCCTTCGTGCAACCTTCACACACAATGAAGCAATTTATGATTGCAGCCTAAGACCGACTTAAGTGGTCTGTGAGTGTGAACTGATAAGACAAAAATTTTTTCTTCAACTGCTAACCTGTTATACTGAAAGGTATTTTCATGAAGAAAAAAATATTTTGGCATAAAACTACTACTTTACACCCAAGAAGTGAGGGTAACACAAGATGCTACTCTACATGATCAACTTATCATATAATCGTTATTACCATCCACAAATGTGTCATTTTCCTTCAGGATTAATTACTGTATTTCCATATCAGATCCCAGACCCTATGGTATGTGCAAGTTATTTTTAAAGATTCTAATTATGTGAGCTCCTTTGGATATTGGTAATCAAAGTCTTCAAAACACTGATGTTTCTTCTCTGAACAAACTCTTGATGTGCTACAAAGATGGGACATTCATAATGTCTGGAAACATTTGATTTTGATGCTTTAATAAAGAAAAAACACCACATATTACGACCAACTACTTTCTAATTCCACATATACTGGAATATGCAAACAGGCATAAACATGGTCTACTTCATGAATGTAAATTTCATCAACATTGGGACTTAAAGGACTATTTGAAGAGGTTTTCTTAAGAAACTGAAGAGAGAGTCAAGTTTTAGCCCTTGCCTGTAATCCCAGCAATTTGGGAAGCCCAGGCAGTAGTATCGCTTCATGCCAGGAGTTCAAGACCAGC